TTCATTCGAGAGAATCATAAACTGCTCATATTCTATTAGAGAGGAAGCAGCAAAATTCATCATATCAGTAATTTGTTGTGCCTTATTGCTCAGTCTTAAGCAAACAGGTATCCAAAACGCTAGTTAGTCTCTTTTATGGAGGCCAGACTAAGAATCATAGAATCTTAGAATGTCAGGGTTGGACGGGACCTCAGGAGGTCATCTAGTCCAACCCCTGCTCAGAAGTGGTAAGAGGGGCAGGAATGCTGTTTCCGTCCCTGAACCAGTAGCAATTGCACAGGATATTGCCACAAAACCTACATTTTATTGCCAAATCATCTAAGCCATTCCTCTTCTGCGCTTCCTGGTTTATAAGTTTCAAATCTACAAAACCTTCCCCTGGACAGTCACTGCCCAGTTGGTGCAGCAGGCAGAGGAACCTGAGCAGTAACACTGTGACACCAGAGGTAACTCAGCCACCTGTCGCTCACTCACTCCACTAACCCTGAGCATAAACCCTAAGCCTGCACCCTGCCTTGGGCATCGCTCTCACGGAAACCTGCAGGTTCATTTACTGACTTATGTAAATCACCTGTGGAGAGTTAGCACTGACTGGCTGAATTCACTCTCAAGTCACAAGGCCCTTCAGCTTACAGTACCAATGTAAGGGGCACAGGGTGGAAATCAGGCTTTTTTGGTGGTGTTGTTTTCCAATTGTCACCAAAATCAACGAGGTTCTTCCCACTGATGCCTAGAAATTCCCTGAAATTTTGGAATCAGTTGGATGTAGCCTTCAAAAATTACTGCCTTAGAGACAAAGAAATGCCATTGAATTGAGCCTTAGGCCTCACTGCACTCAGCCAAGAGTGGCTGAGTCTCCTCCCTATTAACCCAGCAATAGCCCCACACTTGGCTGATCACTGTGGAGACTCTCAGGCCTGGAGGCTGAGCATTCTCAACAGACAGGCAAAAGCCAGCACTAGTCACCACAGGAGATCACTACGGTGGAGATCACCATCAGCGCACAATTCCAGCCCCACCTCTTTGTGAGGATCTCCTACAATGACAGCTGGAGCACAGCCCCACCCTGCCCAGGAAGAAGAGCAGCGGAAAGAAATGGAAGAAGAGAAAAGAGAAGAAGAGTCAAGAGGGAAGGAGGAAGAAGGAAGCAAAAAGGGACAAATTCCAAATGCCCCCAGCAAATCTCAGATTCATAAATTCCAAGCCTAGAAGGAACCACTCTGGTCTGACTTTCTGTTTCACTTCGGCCCTCAAAATAATTCCCATAGGAATTAGAGCTGATATTTTAGTAAAACACCCAATCTTGATTTTAAAATAGGCCAGTTGTGGAAAATCCAGCACAACCCTCAATGAATTGCTCCAAACTCTGATGTTAAAAATGCTCACCTTATTTCCAGTGTGAATTGGTCTAGCTTCAACTTCCAGCCATTGTCTGTTCATAACCTTTATCTGGTAAAGTGAAGAGCCCATTAATAAATATTTGTTCCAATAGGCTCACCGCTTAACCTTCTCTTTGATTGACCTCCTGTAGTCTGTCACCACAGGGCAGGTTTTCTAATCCTTTCATCATTCTTGTGGCTCTTCTGTGAACCCTCTCTGATTTATAAGCGTCTCAAATTGTGGACACCAGAAATGGACACAATATTCCAGGAGTGGTTGCAC